TCCACCTCACCGGCCTCCTTCACTGCAAACTCGTCCAACTGTGGCCGCTCTGCTACACTTGATCCAGCCTGTCCATTGGACCTCCAGCCCCTCCCCCGCCACAAAATGCAAAATTGGCATTACTTGGCGTGGTGTTTTTGTTGTTTATTAGGTTAGATGGAGAATTGGCACTGTTATCATTATATATGCTTTTGCGAGAGTTCTTTTTGATTGGCAACAAAAATCACATGAATGGAGGGGAAAATAAATAAATTATTTAAAATATAGATAAAAAATATATACAGCACAAACATGTGATCGCATCGGTCGTGTTGCCTAGAATATTGTGTTATGTATATTGTTTGGTTATATTAGTGTCCATGCTACCTAGTTAGATTATTAGCATTAGTTGATCTAATAATTAGTTTTTCGACAAAGATCTAATAATTAATTGTATGTTTCATGTGTAATTATTTTTTACAATATATTAGTTATTTTGGTAAATGTGTTGTTCTATTTAAATTGTTGCAGCTGCCATTTGCAAGAGTGTGTGGGATAGGAGTGGGTTGATATACTCCATCACTATATTACAATGACACCGCAAACGATGGCCTCCAGAGTTCGGGCATACTTCGAGCACAAAAAATACATTTCACGACTCGTAAGATAAGATCTCCGTACAAGCAAGCAACGACATGGATACCCATGATTTTTCAATGCCCATATACTTATTTTGGTTTTTAATATTGGAAAAATGAATTCGACATGAATAATGCAGCTTTATAGAATGCTTCTCTATTGTCTCCGCGGTCCCATGAGACAGCGGGATCGGCCTGGATGAATCTAGGCTACAAAGAAAAAAAATCTACTTTTCTAAATGCTTCCTCTCGTGCTTCCCATGATCCATAATCGGTTCGATAATTGCCTTGACGTCCTCCTCAATTTCATCGACCTGCATAAACATTTTGCTTGCTGAGGAAGAGAATAGTAATAGTATTCTGATGCTTTATAAAGGTGGTAAGCACCCTCACAGCAAGAAACACAAAAACAGCGTTGGGATGTTGCTTCAAGTCACGGATCACTCTCACTTCACTTGCAATCGACCAAAAGTAGGTTGCTTAAGATTGCAAGAGAACTCCAAAAGTAACCGGACTACCTTGTGGATGATGTCTCGTGCAAGATGAGCCTCCTCCGCGACCTCCTTGGAGGCGTGCTCGACTGCCACGGCGGCGCGTCTCAGCCGGCCGTCCTCCGGCAGATGCCCGGCCACCTCGGACGACACCCTCTCGGCCGCCGTGGCCACCTCCTCCACGACCTCCGCCGCGGTCTCGGCGGCGTCCTTCACCATCTCCACCTCATCTTAATGGAAGCAGTCCATGACAAATGTTAATATCCATTGATTCTATCTTCCTACTTGGTTACTTGGTTTGGTTGATGTACTTACTTCCGATCCGCAGAATCGACGCCGGTTTGGAGTGCAGGAACGGCGCCGCGATAGCAACAGTGGAGCCAATTGCCAGTCTTGCCCTGACAAAAGAAGAACAGAGAGTTGCAAGGCAGTTCACGAATGTAAGCTGTACTATGACCATTACAAAAACCGAACCAAGATCATGGAAAATTGATTGGATTACCAGGTGGAGAAACCTGCAGCAGGTCGTCCTGTGCCACCTGCGCCGCCGCCGCTGCTCCTGGTTCCTCCGATGCCACGACGCAGGCCAGAGGACGAAAACGATCTCCGCCGATCCAGCGCCAGAAAATGCGCCGCCGTGGCTGGCTGGTTGTCGCAGCCGAGGCGGGTGGTGCAGTGGATCAGCCTGCGCCGGCAGAGCGACGCGAACGAGCTGGCCGGAGACATGTCCACGGCCGACCGGATCGATGCTGCTGAACTGTTCTTCGTTTTTTCTGCCTCTTTTCAACTGATTGACGATGAAAACTGAACTGCTGGAGTGTTGCGGGCACCGATCAAGCGATAGTCATATATAGGCCTTGCAAAAATGTTGCTTGTTGGCTTGCAGGACGTATCTAATCGAGGTGGTGGATGATGAATCTGTGCGGAGTGTGCACGGCAGCGCGTATGCTCGCATACATACCTTGCAAGTATCAGCGTGGCTGATTAAGCTGGCCATGATTGCCCAAAGCGTCAAGTAACGGGGCACACGCATGATGCATCTAACACACAACACAATGTGATGTTTCTTTTTTCCTTTTCACTCTTTTGGCATTATATTTTTCTAGTCCTAAAATATAATTTATTCTGCCATTTTTACAAAAATATCCATGTAAGACATTTTTTTTGCTTACGAGCCTATGTACAGAAAACTATACCATGTTTCTTGAATAAAAATAAAATAAAATTTAACGCAGTGGAGTAATTTATTATCTTTTGTCTGCACAGAATATTTTTAATGAGTCATGTGCACATATTCTATGGCAAATAAAGTATTTATCCATCAGAAGTTTTTATCTGTCGGACACTTTAAAGAGTTGAACATTTTTTTTAATTTACGTGAAGATTTTGTTTGACATACATGAAAAGTTTCTATATGTGAGGTGAAACATATAAAAAATGATTTCTGTCCTTGCACAAAGTTTTTATGTTAAAATGATTTTCATGATGTGAGTGGACATTTATTTTTACACACAAGGACATTTTATTTAGCACCCATGAACACAATTTGACTAACATGGACATTTATATAGATGATAGAACATATTTCATTTATTAAAATAATCTTGGGAATACTGTTCCTAAATAAATGCAGTTTATAAATTATTTTATATTCATTGGAAGGGGTAAATTGAAAGTTGACAAGTCTAATGGACCAACGACTTAACATGAAAAACAAACATTTAAAATTATAAATATCGTTGAACTTTCCTTAGGTTTAATTTAATTTAGTAGAGAGATACAAAAATACATTTACAATGCCATGAAATATCAAGTCTAAATTCAATCCACAACTCTAGAATAGAAAAAGTGAAATCATGTAAGGACCACTAGTTATTCTGAAGCCGTGAATTGATCTCATTAAAAATATAAGTTGAATTTGTTGTTTTTCTTTCTCGAGTTGTGCCTAAAATTTGAATCTAATTTTATATTAATTTGTAGATTAAAGTGTGTTTTTTCAGGTTTGATGCACTGGATACGTCCTCTCTATAGGAACTTCCGAATACCCAATTGACCAAACCAGAAAGGTTTCTATTAGTTTGCCATTGAGCTATCGGCCCAAAATCAAATAAAAGTGTGCTTCGAAGGCTAAGAGTGTAAAGCTATATCTCTCTCACTGCGAGATATAGCGAGCGCTCGCTTATAGAGCCCTCAATCCGGGCCAGCCCAGTAGTATAGGGGAGAAGGCGGTGTTGAAATACCTATTTGCACAAGGTTCTATTCAGTCGTGTTGTTAATTTTAAACAGGTCTATTAGGGTTTATTCCTTCCTTGGATTTTTGAGCCATGTTGATTTCCCTATTTACCTAGTTTAATATTCATTTTTATCTTGGAAAAATAATATAATACACTTGGCCATGTTAACCAGAATGAGGGATCTCTCTCTCTCTCTCTCTCTCTCTCTCTCTCATTTCCTTTTTCTTTTATTTTTATTATCTCCTTTCTTCCTTTTTTATTTTTTTCTCAGCTCTTTTTTCATCATGTTTTAAAACAATGTACATTGTATATATTTAAAAAGTGTTTTTCTTGTATTTAAAAATGTTTATCATGTATCAAAAAAAAATTGGCGTGTATTAATAGGTGATCATCGTGTACTTTCAGAAAGTTTTGGTGCAATGAAAAGTATTCATATCTATATTAACTAAATGATCATCGTGTAGTTTAATTTTTTTGGTTTATTAAAAGATGTTCATTTTGTTTTCCAAATATCTTCGTCGTGTAGGTTAATATATGTCAATATTTCATCGTTGCATTTTTTCATAAGATGTTCATCATCTTTTAAAAAAAATTATCATGTATTTAAAGTTTTTCATCATATATTTTTAAAATATTCACTCTGTACATATAAATTTTCCAGTGTGTACTTTGAAATATTCATCATACTTTTAAAGATGTTTATCGAGTATTTTAAAAAATATCATAGTATATTTTATAAATATGTCACTGTTTTTGTTCTTATGTTGCATGGCTTTTTTTCACTTTTTACCTTTTCAATATATGGGAGATAAGTTCTTTTACATACATGTTTATTTATCGGGCACACACAAACACACATGTGGTGTGACTTTTCGTAACCAACACCGTGTGGTATGCCATTAAAAAAAGTGTGGTGTGCTACTAACCTTTTTTAGGGGCAGTATTTTTCTTTTTTGAATTTTGGTGTGGTGTGCTAGTTTTTTTTAGAAGTGGTGTGCTAGTTATTCTAGGCGTGGAAGACGTAGGTGACTAATGGGGTCCTCCCTAAGAGCATAATTGATATGTATCGCTTGGGGGGCGCTGCTTTTTTTTTTGAGAGAGAGAGAGAATGAGGGGCGCTGCTATGTCTCGCGTTCAGCGAGTCGAGTCTTCTTACTCACTGAAGAGCACGAGGATATGGGCCAGCCCAGTTCGCGGTAGGTACACTGCATCGTTATCTTTTCTGTTTTTTCCATGTTTTTATTTTATTTTTTGATTCCATTTTCAGTTTTCTTTACACTTTGAAATGTTTTGAATGTGTATAAAAAGATGCTTACAATGTATTAAAAAATGATAAAATTTCTTGATCATGTATATAAAAATGTTCAACAAGTATTTAAAAAATGATCAGCGAGTATTTGAGAAATGTTGAACAAGTATTAAATGTTTTTAATAAGTATAAAAATGTTGAGCAGGTGTTTAAAAAATGTTGAACAAATGTTCGGACAATGTTGAACGTGTATATAAAAAATGTTGATCTCTTATTAAAAAAATTGAACAAGTATTTACATAATGTAGATCAAGCATTTGAACAATGTTAAATGTGTATAGAAAAAATGTTGATCATATATTAAAAAATCAAGAAATTTCTTGATCATGTATATAAAAAATGTTTATTGAGCAGTTGAAACAATGTTAAACAAGTATTTAAAAATGTTAATCAAGCATTTGGAAAATGTTAAATGTGTATAGAAAAATGTTGACCATGTGTTAAAAAATTGTTCATATTACATTTTTTGAAAAAATGGCAAACTAGATAATGGGTTTTTGCAATAGGTTCTTGGGAACTTCTCTTAGAGACTACCTTTGACCCTAACGCAGAGAGAGGTTCATAAGAGTTGCTATGTTGATAACTTTTAGTTTCACTTTCCATCCTAGTTATAAATGTATGTCATAGTAAAATAGCATTCTAATATCCAAGTAAATGTACATATCATTGCATGTCGTATGGTCGACAGGATGGGATTGTCGGAAGCATCAACACTGAGTGGGACGGTAGTGGCGGCTAGGGTTATGCGCGAGGAGGCAGAGAGTGTGTATCGGCTAGCGTTGCCAACGCCTCCAGTATATAGGTCGTTGGGTAGGGAGACGTGGGCCAGGGCTTTGGCCCATGACTAAGTCAGCAACAACTCCTGGTCCAACCTCTCAGATATCTTTAATTAATTAATTGTTCCTGGCCGGCAAAAATAAAGTGCACACATGACATAGGTCTAAGCTCAGCTCGGCTCATTCATGAAACACGAAGCGCGTATGATGATTGGCATGGCGAGACGGGCGACAGAGGAGAAGCGCGTGTATCATTCCTCTTTTCAAGCGGCAATAGCATGTGAAAGAGAATACCTTGTAAAGAGGTCTCAACTCTCTTCCACTGGAAGTAGGGTACTAAATTTCTCACCATGTCATGCACCCACATGGACCTTATAGACCAACCATGAATTATTGTTTATATGGGACCAAAGCCCATCTATACTTCAACAATGCCCCATCAGATCTCGGGGGCACATTATGTTGTCCTTTGTTCTAAAAAATTGTTTTGATATACTAATATTTTTAGTGGACACTGGTTAAGGTTGAACGTCCACTGATACGTCTCCAACGTATCTATAATTTTTTATTGCTTCATGCTATATTATCTACTGTTTTGGTCAATATTGGGCTTTATTATCCACTTTTATATTATTTTTGGGACTAACCTATTAACCAGAGGCCTAGCCCAGATTTGTTGTTTTATGCCTATTTCGGTGTTTTGAAAAAAAGGAATATCAGACCGAGTCGGAACGGAACGAAATCAACTGGAGAAGTTATTTTTGGAAGGAAATACACCTGATAGACTTGGACCCCATGTCAGAAGATACGGGAGCTGCCCACGAGGATGGGGGCGCGCCCCCTGCCTCGTGGGGCCCCCGTGGCTCCCCTGACGTACCTCCTGCACCCATATATACCAACGTGACCTAAAACTTCCAGAACGCAAGATAGATCGGGAGTTTCGCCGCCACAAGCCTCCGTAGCCACCAAAAGTCAACCGGGACCCTATTCCGGCACCACCAAAAGTCAATCGGGACCCTGTTCCGGCACCCTACCGGAGGGGGGAACCCTCACCGGTGGCCATCTTCATCATCCCGGTGCTCTCCATGACGAGGAGGGAGTAGTTCTCCCTCGGGGCTAAGGGTATGTACCAGTAGCTATGTGTTTGATCTCTCTCTCTCTCTCGTGTTCTTGATTTGGCACGATCTTGATGTATCGCGAGCTTTGCTATTATAGTTGGATCCTATGTTTCCCCCCCCCCTCTTCTCTCTTGTAATGAATTGAGTTTCCCCTTTGAAGTAATCTTATCGGATTGAGTCTTTAAAGATTTGAGAATACTTGATGTATGTCTTGCCGTGGATATCTGTGGTGACAATGGGATACCACGTGCCACTTGATGTATATTTTGGTGACCAACTTGCGGGTTCC